TTTAGTTTGGAGAGACGAATATATAAAAAGATGTAATTTTTGAATTAAAAATGAGCCTTTTTTCAAATTTAAAAGTACATAACTACAAAACGAGACAAGTAAATAGATCGCAGTTTAAAGAATTCGATTCCTTGAAGCTTTCTAGTTCTCTAGGTAAATTTTCACACCGGATAATTGAACTATTTAATTTGGAGAGACGAATATAAAAAGCTGTCGTTGTTGAGTTAAAAAATAGCCTTTTTTTTAATTTAACGAAAGATAACTCCAAAACGGTTCAATACTTTACAATGCGGTTTAAAGCGTTGGATTCCTTGAAGTTTTCTTATCCTGTAAACAAATTTTCAGATCAGACACTCAATTTGTTTAGTTTGGACAGACGAAAATATAGAAAGGTATAATTTTTGAGTTAAATTATCCTTTTTTTTTCAAACTTAAAAAGCTATAACTCCAACACGGCACAAGAAAATAGATCGCAGTTTAAAGTATTCGATTCCTTGAAGCTTTCTAGTGTTACAAGCGGTTTTTCAGACCAAATTCTCAATCCGTTTAATTTGGAGAGACGAATATATAGAAAGGTGTAATTTCTCAGTTAAAAACCAACCTTTTTTCAAATTTAAAAGTACATAACCCCAAAACGGCACAAAAGAAAGCATCACGGTTTAAAGTGTTCCATTATTCAAGTTTTCTAGTTATATAAGCAAATTTTCAAACCGGATACTACAACTGTTCAGTTTTTTCATATAAAAAGGTGTAATTTTTTAGTTAAAAAAAACTTTTTTCAAATTTAATGACACGTAACTTCAAAGCGGCTGAAAAATTTGGATTTTGGTTTGAAGTATGCGATTCCTAGAAGCTTTCTAGTTCTGTGCACACATTTTCAGACCGGACACGGGATCTGTTTAGTTTGGAAAGACGAATATGTAATGAGGTGTCATTTTTGAGTTAAAAATTAGCTTTTTTTCAAATTTGAAAACACGTAATTCCAAAACGGCCGAAAAATTTGTATTGCGGTTTTAAGTATACGATTCCTTGAAGTTTTCTTATTTTGTGAGCAAATTTTCAAACCAGATCTTTGATCCTTTAAATTTTGAGAAACGAATATACAAAAAAGGGTCTCTTTTGAGTTAAAAATTTGACTTTTTCAGATTTGAAAGGGCATAACTCCAAAATGGCACATTAAAATGCATCGCGGTTGAAAGCATTCAATTTCTTGAAGCTTTCTAGTTCGCCAAACAAATTTTCAGACCGGATACTATATCCGTTTAGTTTGAAGACATCAATATATAGAAAGGTGTAATTTTTGAGTTAAAAAATAGCTTTTTTAAAATTCGAAAGGACATAACTCTAAAACGGCACATGAATACGCACCGTCGTTAAAATCATTTGATTCTTTGAAGCTTTCTAGTTCCATAGACAAATTCTCAAGCCGGATATTCGATTCGTTTACTTTAGAGAAACATATATATAAAAGGTAACATTTTTGAGTTGAAAACCAGCCTTTTTTCAAATTCAAAAGGACATAACGCCAAAACGGCACAAAGGACAGCATTGCGGTTTAAAGTGTTCGATTCTTGAAGCTTTCTAGTTCTATAAGCAAATTTTCAAACCAAACACTCGAACTGTTCATTTTCTAGTTAAAAATAGTCTTTTTTCAAATTTAAAAAGACGTAACTTCCAAACGATAGAAAAATTTGGTTTTCGGTTTAAAGTATGTGATTCCTCGAAGCTTTCTAGTTCTGTGCACAAATTTTCAGACCGAACACGCAATTTGTTTAGTTTGGTGAGACGAATGTCTAAAAGGGTGCCATCCTTGAGTTAAAAACATTTTTTTTTTCAAGTTTAATGGGACATAACTCCAAAATGGCACAAAACTTTGAATTGTGGTTTGAAGTAAACGATTCCATGAGACTTTCTAATCAAGTGAAAAAATTTTGAGACCAGACACTCTATCTGTTTAGTTTTGAGAGAAAAATATATAAAGACTTGTTGTTTTTGAGTTAAAAAATAACGTTTTTTTCAAATTTAAGGAGACATAATTCCAAAACGGCACAAAAATCCTCATTGTCGTTTGAAATATTCGATTCCTTGAAGTTTTCTTATTCTATGAGCAAATTTTCAGATCTGATACTGGATCCATTTCGTTTGGAGACGAAAAATTATAAAAAAGTGTCATTTTTCAGTTAAAAATAGCCTTTTTTCAGATTTGAAAAGGTATATCTCCAAAATGGCACACTAAAATACATATCGGTTTAAAGCATTCGATTCCTTGAACCTTTCTATTTCTATAAACAAATTTTCAAGACGGATATTTGATTCGTTTACTTTGGAGAAACAAATATATAAAAGGTATCATTTTTGAGTTAAAAACCAGCCTTTTTTCAAATTGAAAAAGACATAGCTCCAAAACGGCACAAAAGAAAGCTTCGCGGTTTGAAGTGTTCGATTCTTCAAGCTTTCTAGTTCTATAAGCAAATTTTCAAACCGGATACTCGAACTGTTCAATTTGGAGAGACGAATATATAAAAAGGTGTCATTTTCTAGTTAAAAATAGCCTTTTTTCAAATTTAAAAAGACGTAACTTCCAAACGATAGAAAAATTTGGATTTCGGTTTAAAGTATGTGATTCCTCGAAGCTTTCTAGTTCTGTGCACAAATTTTCAGACCGAACAGGCAATTTGTTTAGTTTGGAGAGACGAATGTCTAAAATGGTGCCATCCTTGAGTTAAAAACATTTTTTTTTTCAAGTTTAATGGGACATAACTCCAAAATGGCACAAAACTTTGAATTGTGGTTTGAAGCAAACGATTCCTTGAGACTTTCTAATCATGTGAAAAAATTTTCAGACCAGACACTCTATCCGTTTAGTTTTGAGAGAAAAATATATAAAGACTTGTTGTTTTTGAGTTAAAAAATAACCTTTTTTTCAAATTTAAGGAGACATAATTCCAAAACGGCACAAAAATCCTCATTGTCGTTTGAAATATTCGATTCCTTGAAGTTTTCTTATTCTATGAGCAAATTTTCAGATCTGATACTGGATCCATTTCGTTTGGAGACGAAAAATTATAAAAAAGTGTCATTTTTCAGTTATAAATAGCCTTTTTTCAGATTTGAAAAGGTATATCTCCAAAATGGCACACTAAAATACATATCGGTTTAAAGCATTCGATTCCTTGAACCTTTCTATTTCTATAAACAAATTTTCAAGACGGACATTTGATTCGTTTACTTTGGAGAAACAAATATATAAAAGGTATCATTTCAAGAGTTAAAAACTAGCCTTTTTTCAAATTGAAAAAGACATAACTCCAAAACGGCATAAAAGAAAGCTTCACGGTTTGAAGTGTTCGATTCTTGAAGCTTTCTAGTTCTATAAGCAAATTTTCAAACCGGATACTCGAACTGTTCAATTTGGAGAGACGAATATATAAAAAGGTGTCATTTTCTAGTTAAAAATAGCCTTTTTTCAAATTTAAAAAGACATAACTTCCAAACGATAGAAAAATTTGGATTTCGGTTTAAAGTGTGTGATTCCTCGAAGCTTTCTAGTTTTGTGCACAAATTTTTAGACCGAACACGCAATTTGTTTAGTTTGGAGAGACGAATGTCTAAAAGGGTGCCATTCTTGAGTTAAAAACAATTTTTTTTTTCAAGTTAAATGGGACATAACTCCAAAATGGCACAAAACTTTGAATTGTGGTTTGAAGTAAACGATTCCTTGAGACTTTCTAATCATGCGAAAAAAATTTCAGACCAGACACTCTAACCGTTTAGTTTTGAGAGAAAATTGTTGGTTTTTAGTTAAAAAATAATCTTTTTTTCAAATTTAAGGAGAGATAATTCCAAAACGACACAAAAATCATCATTGTCGTTTGAAATATTCGATTCCTTGAAGTTTTTTATTCTATGAGCAAATTTTCAGATCTGATACTGGATCCATTTAGTTTGGAGAAAAGAAATTATAAAAAAGTGTCATTTTTGAGTTGAAAATAGCCTTTTTTGAGATTTGAAACGGCATAACTCCAATATGACACACTAAAATGCATCGTGGTTTAAAGCATTCGATTCCTTGAAGCTCTCTAGTTCTGCAAGCAAATTTTCAGATCGGACTCTATATATGTTTAGTTTGAAGAGACCAATATACAGAAAGGTGTCATTTTTCAGTTAAAAAATATCTTTTTTCAAATTCACAAGAACATAACTCCAAAACGGCACAAGAAAACGCATCATCGTTTAAATCATTCGATTCCTTGAAGGTTTTTAGTTCTATAAACAAATTTTCAGTCCGGATACTGGATTCGTTTATTTTAGAGAGACCAATTTATAGAAAGCTGTAATTTTTGAGTTAAAAATTAGCCTTTCCGCTGATTTAAACTGACCAATAACCTACTTGGCATGTACCTTTAGGGGTTCGTCAGGGGTCTACACTAGGCCCACTATTATATTAAGTATATATAAACGATCTTGGTCGCAAATTTTCATCAGGATAGAGCCTTTTCGCAGACAATCACAATATCTTTAGAGTAATTTGAAGTTATTAATTCTAATTATTATTTGATTTATATAATTGTTATTATTATCATGATTATCATTAAAAGAAAAACGGGGAATATTTATCAAAATAGAAATCCTGCAATTCCTGCAGACGTCCACTTAAAAAAAATCTAACTCTTGCCGAGAATCCTTTTCCCGTCTCTAAACTTGTTTTTCTGTAACTCATCCCTTTCAAAAATCGCTAATTCCCCCTATAATTTCCGTCCCCTTATGAAAAATGGCAAACTTCTCCTCCGGCAGCTATAACCCCAGCAATAAGGGTGTAAACGGTTGAGAACCGCACGTAAAAGGAAGTATAAAGGTGCGAAGATGGATTTTAGGGCAAGCTGAAAACACGCGAAATACCAATCTGTAGCGGCGGCTGACGAGATGAGCAACACGGGGCGGGCATTTAGAGGGAGGGACAGGTACGAGGTGTTAGTTGATTCAGCAAAGGATCTAATGGACCAGCCTTGCACGCCACGGTAGCTCCAAGCAGTGCTCATCACGGACCCGAGTCCTCTGCGTCTTGCGATGGACGATGACAACCGGTACGAGAGTGACGACGACGACGGCCACTTCCTGGACTCGGACTTCAGTTCCGAGGAGGACCAGAGCGTGGACATCGTCTCCACGGAGCAGGAGGAGCGGAAGGCGCAGAGGTGCGATGACGACGGCGGCGCCAACAAGTTCTCGATCGACAGGATCCTGGGGCTGAGCAGGAAGTGCAAGGACGACAAGTGCGACGAAGGGAAGGTGGGCAAGGAGGTGAAGTTCATTAAGCCGACGCCGCTGCCGGCGGCACCACGTGCAGGTTAGAGGAGTTTTTTTTCGAGTGAGAGTGAAGGAATTTTCAGTTTTGGACAAAAACACAAAAATTTAGGCGAAAGTAAACAACACCAAAATAATTATACCATTATTAATATCACACAATTTAAGATGAATAAAATCATTTTTTAGAAATATCTGTGCAAGTCGTCAAAAAAATTTTAAATCTCTCTTGCCACATTGTTGATATGACGTCACTTTAGTGTTTAGAAGTGACGTAATTAATTTGTTAGGGGGATGAATGGGTCAGTTTTGGTCTAATGAATTTTAAACAGATGTGCCGACGGACTGAAATTTTTTTATGTTGGTCAATAGCTCGATTTTTATTTCTCAGGTTCATCACTGGCTATAGAGTTAGTAGTCAAACAGTTTTGGGAAATATCTGAATTAGTGTTTTCTTGGCGTTTCACAAATCCTAAAATACGAAAATGCAGATTTTACTTCTCTTTGAATTTTTCTGTCAAAAATAGAGAAGTTTTTCACTCATCTCGAAAAATTAACTTCATTTCAAAATATTAAAAAATCACAGCTTGTTGTGCGGACTTACCTCGGATTTAACAACACACAGTTACTTTTAACATTACTTTCACGAATTTGGCAAACGAGAAACAAGTGTGAAGTGTCATTTTTTTAATTACAAAGATTATGTAACAAGTTTCTTAAAAGTTTTACTTTAGGCATAACCCAGTGTAATTAAAAATTTATTACTACGCCCTCCGGACAGTTGATGACGTCATCTTAAAAATTATCGAACAAATCGTGTGTGTGCTTGTGTCTCAATAATGTTGTTTTGGTTTTCAAGTGGCTCAAAAATCTAACCATGGACACACTGGCGACGAAATTATCACTTTTGATTTTTGTTAAGTTAAGACTTTTACTTTCTTGCTTTGTTTACTGTGTTGTATTATTAGTTGAATGAAACATCCTGAAAATTTTTGAATAATTTTAAACTTTGTGGGAAGGTTGATCGTAGAAAAAACGTCAAATATTAAAGTATCGTTATTTAAAATTCAATTTTATCTTCAACTTTGATCTAACGAAAGTGCACAAACAGAACAAAATAATTGGTAAAAAATATACATCAAATCATTGTTTTCTATGTAAATTTGAAATCTTATAACAATTTTCTTGTAAATGTTAATTTCCCAATAACACACATTGTCATTACTGTGTATCATTATATCATATTCTCAGATCATATCATATAGCATCATATCGTGTCAACATATCATATCATGTCATCATATCATCATATTTTACTACCATACCATGACTATGTCGATTCTCTAGAATATTTTCGTATTCTCTCAGATTTTTTCGGATTCTTTCGGATTCTTCAGGATGCTTTTTTATTCTCCCGAGTTCCCGCGAATACTCTCATATTTGATCAAATTCTTCCAGATTCTCTTAAATTTCCTTGGATTCTATCAAATTTTTTCGAATCCTCTCGGATTGTTTTCGTGTTTTTTTCGCTTTTTTCGGATTTCTATTCCCCCGACTTCTCTTGTATTATCTAATGTTTTTTCAGATTCTCTCGTTTTCTTCTGGGTTCTCGAGGATCCTCAAGAATATTTTAGATTCTATGGATTCTTCAGGATTCTCTCTATTATCTCGAATTTCATTCGAATTTTCTCGGATTTTTTCGTATTACCTCTGATTTTATCCGAATTCTCTTATGTTATATCAAATCTCCTAGGATTTCTTTTGTATTCTCTTGGACTGCTTCGAATTCTTCCAGATCCTTCAGATTCTTTCGGATTTTATTAGATTCTCTCGAAGTTACCCGGTTTTTTTCGAATTCTTCCTAATTCTCTTATTTCGCCTTAAATTCTGTCAAATTGTTCCGAATCCTCTCAAATTATTTTCGTATTCTCACGTATTCTTCGATATTGTTTCGGATTCTTTAGAAGTCTCGGATTCTTTCGCATTGTTTAGAATTTTCTAGAATTATTTCCGGACTATCTCGATTTTTTCAGATTTCCTCGGATTTTTTCCGGATTCTCTCATATTCTTTCAGTTTCTCTGAGATTGTCTCAAATTGTTTCATTCTCTTGGATCTTTTCGTATTCCATCGGAGTCTTCCAGATTTTCTTAAATTTCCTTAGATTCTATCAAATTCTCTAGAGTCCTCTCAGATTGTTTTCGTATTCTCACGTATTCTTCAGTATTTTTGCAGATTCTTTTGTAGTCTCGGATTCTTCCGGATACTTCCTGGATTGTTTCGGATTTTCTAGAAATATTTTCGGATTTTCTTGGATTCTTTTGGAGTTTCCGGATTCTCACGGATTCACTGGGATTTTCTCGCATTTTTTACGGACTTCCGGATTTTTTCCAAATTCTCTCATATTCTTTCGGTTTCTCTGGAATTCTCTTGAATTCAGTTTTGTTCTATCAAATTCTTTCGTATTTCCTTGTCTTTTTTCGAGATTCTTCCGGATTCTCTGTAATTCTCTCGAATTCATTTTGAACCTCTGGAATTTTTTGTGTTCTCTCGGATTTTTTGGGATTCTTCCGAATTGTGCTGGGTTCTTCCGGATTCTTCGGATTCTTTCGGATTTTATTGAATTCTCTCGAATTTACCCAGTTTTGTTCGAATTCTTCAAAATTCTCTTATTTTGCCTTAAACTCTATCAAATTGTTTTAAATCCTCTGGAATTGTTTTCGTATTCACACGTATTCTTCGGTATTCTTTCGGATTTTTTCGCATTGTTTTGAATTTTCTCGAATTATTGCTGGACTCTCTAGGATTTTTTCATATTTCCTCGGATTTTTTCCGAATTATCTAATATTCTTTCGGTTTCTCTGGGATTCTCCCAAATTCTATTTCTTCTTCCTGATTTTCTTCAATTCTCCTGAAATTCCTAGGATTCTCTCATATTTTTTTTCGATTCTACCGGATTCTCTTAAATTCACTTAAATTCTATCAAATTCTCTCGGATTGTTTTCGTGTTCTCACTGATATTTTTTCAGATTTTTTTAGAGTCTCAGATTCGTCTGGATACTTTTCGGATTGTTTTGGATTTTCTAGAATTAGTTTCAGATTTTCTTGGATTCTTTCGGAATTTTCCAGATTCTCACGGATTCTCTGGAATTCTCTTCAATTCAGTTTCGTTCTCTCGCATTTTTTCGTATTTCCTTGTCTTTTTTCGATATTTTTCTTGATTCTCTGCAATTTTCTCAAATTCACCTTAAGTTTCTCGGATTTTTTCGTGTTCTCCTGGATTTTTTCGGATTCTTCCGAATTCTTCGGGGTTATTCCGGGTTCATTCAGATTCTGTTGGATTCTCTCAGAGTCAACCGCATTTTTTCGAATATTTTCGGATCCTCAAATTTTCCCTTGAAATCTATCAAATTCTTTCCAAGCCTCTCCGATTCTTTCGGAGTTTTCCGGAATTCTCACGGATCCTCACGGATTCTCCAAATTCTCTCGGATTCTTTCATACTTTCTAGTATTCTTTCCGGACTGTCTCGGATTTTTTCAGAATTCTCTCATATTCTTTCGGTTTCTCTGGGATTCTCCGGAATTCAGTTTCGTTCTCTCCGATTTTTTCGTATTCCTTTGTATTCTTTCAGATTCTTCCGGATTATCTTCTTTTCTTTCTATTTCTTTTGGATTCCCTCGTATTTTTTCGGATTCTTTCGGATTCTTTCGGATTCTTCCAGATTCTCCCGGGTTCTTCCGGATTCTTCCAGATTCTCCCGAAATTACCCGGCTTTTTTTTAATTCTTCCGTATTCTCTTATTTTCCCTTAAATCTTGTCAAATTGTTTCGAATCCTCTGGAATTATTTTCGTATTCTCACTTATTCTTCGGCATTCTTTCTAATTCTTTAGGAGTCTCGGATTCTTTCGTATTGTTTAGAATTTTCTAGAATTATTTCTGGACTCTCTCGGATTTTTTCGTATTTCCTCGGATTTTTCCGAATTATCTCATATTCTTTCGGTTTTTCTGGGATTCTCCCAAATTCTGTTTCTTCTTCCAGATTTTCTTCTATTCTCCTGAAATTCCTTGGATTCTCTCATATTTTTTAATTCTTCCGGATTCTCTTAAATTTACTTAAATTCTATAAAATTCTCTCTGATTGTTTTCGTGTTCTCACGTATTCTTCGGTATTTTTTCAGATTCTTTTGGAGTCTCAGATTCGTCTGGATACTTCTCGGATTGTTTCGAAGTTTCTAAAATTATTTTCAGATCTTCTTGGATTTTTTCGGAATTTTCCGGATTCTCACAAATTCTCTGGAATTTTCTTGGATTCTTTCCTATCTTTTCGGATTTTTTCCGAATTCTCTCATATTCTTTCGGTTTCTCTGGAATTCTCTTGAATTCAGTTTCGTTCTCTCGCATTTTTTCGTATTCCCTTGTCTTTTTTCGATATTCTTGTTGATTCTCTGCAATTTTCTCAAGTTCAGCTTAAGTTTCCCGGATTTTTTCGTGTTCTCCTGAATTTTTTCGGATTCTTCCGGGTTCTCCCGGGCTCATTCAAATTCTGTTGGATTCTCTCAGAGTTAACCGCATGTTTTCGAATATTTTCGGATCCTCAAATTTTCCCTTGAAATCTATCAAATTCTTTCCAAACCTCTCCGATTCTTTCGTAGTGTTCCGGTTTCTCCCGGATCCTCACGGATTCCCCAAATTCCCTCGGATTCTTTCATATTCTCTAGTATTTTTTCCGGACTCTCTCGGATTTTTTCAGAATTCTCTCATATTTTTTCGGTTTCTCTGGGATTCTCCGGAATTCAGTTTCTCCGATTTTTTCGTATTCCTTTGTATTCTTTCAGATTCTTCCGGATTCTCTTCTTTTCTTTCGGCTTCTTTTGAATTCCCTCTTATTTTTTTCGGATTCTTTCGGATTCTTCCAGATTCTCCCAGGTTCTTCCGGATTCTTCCAGATTCTTCCGGGTTCTTCCGAATTCTTCGGATTCTTTCGAATTTTATTGGATTAGCTCGAAGTTACCCGTTTTTTTTCGGATTCTACCCAATTCTCTTATTTTCCTTTAAATTCTGTTAAACTGCTTCGAATCCTCTGGAATTGTTTTCTTATTCTCACGTATTCTTCGGCATTCTTTAGAATTCTTTAGGAGTCTCGGATTCTTTCGCATTGCTTAGAGTTTTCTATAATTATTTCTGGACTCTCGGATTTTTTCCGAATTTTCTCATATTCTTTCGGTTTTTCTGTTATTCTCCCAAATTTAGTTGCATTCTCTAGGATTTTTTCGTATTCTCTCGTGTTCTTTTGGGTTCTTCCGGATTCTCTTCTGTTATCCCGATTTCCCTTTGGTCCTCTTAAATTTATTTCGGTTTCTTTCGAATTCTTACGGATTTTTGCGGATCCTCTAAGAACATTTTATATTCTCTCATATTCTTCAGGTTTTTCTCTTATTATCTCGAATTTCCTCGGATTCTTTAGGATTCTTCCATAATCTCTCGTATTTTTTTGGTATTTTTTAGAATTCTTCCGGATTCTTCCAGATTCTTTCGAATTTCGCTCGATTCTCTGTGCGTTACCCGAATTTTTCCGATTTTTTTCGGATTCTCCTAAATTCCCTTGGATTCTATAAAATTCTTTCAAATCCTCTCGAATTATTTTCGTATTTTAAAATAATAATAATAATAATGATAAATAATAAATAATAAATAATAATTCTTCTGGATTCTTTAGGAGTCTCAAATACTTTTGGGTTCTTTTCGGATTGTTTAGGATTTTCTAGAATTATTTTCGGATCCTCTCGGATTCTTTCGGAGTTTTTCGGATTCTCCAGAATTCTCTCATATTCTTTTGGATTCTCTGGGAATCTCCCAAATTCACTTTGATTCTCTCAGATTTTTTGTATTCTTTTGGATTTTTCCGAATTCTTCCGGGCTCTTCCGTATTCTTTGGAATTCTGTTGGATTCTCTCGCAGCTACCCGGATTTTATCGAATTATTCTGGATTCTCTTATTTTCTCTTGAATTCAATCAAATTCTTTCGAATCCTCGCAGATTGTTTTCGTATTCTCACGTATTCTTCGATATTCTTTCGGATTGTTTGGAAGTCTCACAATTATTTTCGAATCCTTTGGGATTCCTTCGGAGTATTCCGGATTCTCCTAAATTCTCTCGGATTCTTTCATATTTTCTCGTATTTTTCCGAACTTTCGGATTTTTTCAGAATTCTCTCATATTCTTTTGGTTTCTCCGGGATTCTCCCAAATTCAGTTTCATTCTCTCGGATTTTTTCGTAATCCCACGTGTTCTTTCGAATTCTTCCGGATTCTCTTCTTTTCTCTCCTCTTCCCTTGGATTCTTTCATATTTTTTTCGGATTCTTTCGCATTCTTCCAGATTCTATCAAATTCACTTTGATTTCTCGGGTTTTCTCGTATTCTCTAGTATTCTTTCGGATTCTTTTGGATTCTCTCTTATTCTCCCGAATATTCCTTTTGGATCCTCTCAAATTTTTTCCGGTTCTTCAATTCCCTCGTTTTGTAGGGATTCTTTTCGTATTCTTTCAGATTCTCTCGTATTTACTCGAATTCTTTCGAATTCTTCGGTATTCTTGTGGATCCTTGCTGAATATTTTGTATTCTCTCTTATTCTCCCGAATTCTTGAAGTTTCCTCCCAAATTCTCTTAGGTTTCTCATTGATTTTTTGTGATTCTTTCGAATTCTAGCGAATCTTGTCAGAATATTTTGGATTCTCTGGTAGTTATTCCTTCGAATTCTTCATATTAGATAAATAAAATATCCTGAAAATATTTGAATAAGTTCGAACACTCTGTGAAAACGTGAAATATTAATAAAATCTGACTTTAAATAACAGTATTTAATGTCAGATCAGATTTAACTGAGATAAATAATAACAATTTTGTTGCAAACAAATTTTCCAAAATTACAATTTGTCATTATTTAAGTAAGTAATTATGAACTTTTACTAAAATTCTAAAAAATCTAAAAACAAACGTTAAATCAATATTTTTTTTTACACAAAAAAGCTGGGCAAGATTTTTTTTAATCAAAATTTTATTTTTTGTATTTTAACCGATTTCGGCCTTTTTAAGGGTTCAATTTTTGTGCTGGGAGTTTATAAATTTCCCTTGCTTAAAGACAATTTTGTACAGAAGTGCAAAAATTGTAGAGACTTTCTGAACTTTTTTAACTGCCAAATTATTATTTGGTCACAAGTGTATTTATTTATACAACACCTTTATCCAGACAAAATATGTAGACAACTTTGATAGCTTCAAACAAAAAAACAAAGTGTAATAAACGTCGTTAATAATTTTTAACAACACGCAAGTATAAATTTGCTTAAAAATAATAAACGGATTGTTTTAGTTTCAAACTCGTTAGCAAATATTTAACCGAGTTATTTCATAAGTAGTTGCCACACTGCATAATTCCGATCAAATTTTCCCAGTAATCTAAAAATAGTCTCTGCAATCATTTAATAAAGTATTTATGAGGACTTTATTTTAAAGAGAATTTAACACCATTAACTTTCTGACAACTACTTACAAGGTGATATTCTGCTGAAAATTGTTTAAATACATAAAATAAATTCGCCCAATTTACACGCATTAGCTGTTACATGTGTCAAAAACTATATCATGCACCAACAAGAATAACGACTTTTTAGGTATATACCAATCCGTGATAGATCTCCAACAGTACGCAAGGCCCGACCCCACTCCGCCCGACCCGGGCCTGCTAGACTTCTTATCCAACGCAAAAGTGTCAAGCAACCAAAGCTCCGAATCTTCCTATCTCCCCTACCACTTGCACCCAGGAACCAGCTCGTCCTCGTTTATATACACAAACTGGTTGAGCACGACAGGGGACCACAAAAATTCTAGTCACATTTTTGGCCTCCAGGGTAAGTATTTTTGCTTATTGTTTTAAACATTTTGGTTGAGAATGAAGCGTTGTTATTATTAAATACTTTTAAAGCTATTCAATTAATCATATAAAAGACGTAAATGGTCGTTCATTACTTCACAATAGAGATGAACAATAACATGAATGATCGAAAATGGTCGGATCGCGTGCGGCTTAATAATAAGATGGCGTAAATAAGAATTGAACAATTTACAAATCACCTTATTCGTAAACTCATTTATTATAGTCGTTTCCACGAGATTGCTAACAATTACTTTACACTCACTGGGGCCCTAAATCGCAAATAATCGTATAAATCAACACGAAAGTAAAAAGTGGCACAATTTGAGGGATGTAAAGAGGGCATTCTCTGCGAAGTGGAAATTTTATTATTTCGGTTTAGGTATTCGTATTTTTCTTTTCCATTCGTGGAAAGCAATGTTAAAGACACAAACAATTGAATTCTGGTAAAAGTCTAGTTTAGTGGAAAATTGAGCGAAAATTTTTCAAAATCGCCATGTAGCAGATTTTTTTCTTGTTTTCAAATTATTTTATATTTCACGAACGCACTGTGTCTTATAATTTTGCAAACAATTAGTTCAAAATTGAAGAAAGAATTTTTTCCGGTGATGCTGACAAAGTGTGATATAATCGGTATTTTTTAAAACAATACTGTATTTGTAAAGAGCATTTTACAAATGATAAAAAATTGTGTAAATATTCAGAAACATTTACACACTAGAAAACTGAAAAAACGAATTCGAAAGCAAACTTTTTTTGTCGACGTTATGAAAGCAGTGACGTCATTGACATATACAGAGTGAATAAAAAAACGCACGCCTTCAGCTTTTTTTTTCGTTATTTAAAATATGTTAAACGACTCTTTACTTTGATTCTCCCGGATTCTCTTCTATCCTCTCTAATTCCTTCAGATTTTCTCGTATTATTTGGGATTTTGTTGGATTCTCTCGTATTTTTTCGTGTTATCTAAAATCTTCTCCAGTTCTATGAAATTTTCACATATTTACGATGTTCTTTCCGATTCTCTCAGAATCTTAGATTTTTTTCAGATTCTTCAAAATTGTTTAGAATTTTCTAGAATTATTTCTGGATTCTCTCGGATTCTTTCGAATCTTTTCGGATTTTTTCCGGGCTCTCTCGGATTTTTTCGTATTCTTTGGGACGTTCTCCAAATTCTCTCACATTCTTTCAGATTCTCTGGCATCCTCTCAAAATTACTTTGATTCTGTCGGATTTTTTGAAGTTTTCTGGAATTATTTTCCGATTCTGTAGGACTCTTTGGGAGTTTTCCGGATTCTTCCAGATTTTCCATAATTCTCTCGGATTTTTTTGTATCATCTCGGATTTTTTTTCGGACTCTCGGATTTTTTCGTATTTCCTAGGACTTTTTCAGAATTCTCTGATATTCTTTCGGTTTTGGATATTTTCATATTCTCGTATTATCTGGGATTCTATCCGAATTTTCTCATATTTTTCCAGATTCCCTGGGATTCTCTCAAATTCACTTTGATTCTCATGGGTTTTTTCATACTTTCCTGGATTGTTTCGGATTCTTCCGGCTTCTTCCGAATTCTTTTGAATTCTGTCGGATACTCTCGAATTTACTAGAATTTTTTCCTATTCTCACGTATTCTTCGATATACTTTCAGATTCTTTCGAATTCTTTCGGATTCTTTCGTATCTTCTAGAACTTTTTCCGGACTCTCGAATTTTTTCGTATTTCGTAGGACTTATTCCGAATTCTCTCATTTTTCTTATTCAATTTCGTTCTCTTGGATTTTTTCGTATTCTCTCGTATTCTTTCGGATTCTTCCGGATTCCTTTCTATTCTCCCGATTTCCTTATTCTTGGATTTTATCTGAATTCTCTCATATTTTTCCGGATTCGCTGGGATTTTCTCAAATTCACTTTGATTCTCTGTTTTTTTTTATATTCTCTTGAATTGTTTCGGATTCTGCCGGATTCTTTTTTTCGTACTCTCACGTATTCTTCTTTCGAATTCTTTCGTGGTGTCGGATTCTTTCGAATTCCTTCCGGATTGTTTCGGATTTTCTAGAATTATTTATTTTCGAATTCTTGCGGAACTTCACGGACTCTTTGGAATCCTTTCGGTTTTTTCCGGACTCTCTCGGATTATTTCGTATCGAAATCACTTTGATTTTTGTATTATCTCATCTATTCTTTGGAATTCTTCCGTATTATTTCGGATCTTCTCAGAATTCTTTTCATGTTCTTTGGATTCTGTCGGTTTCTCTCAAATTTTCTTGGAATCATATCGGATTTTTCAGCTTCTTTTCTCAGCGATTTCCTCAAGTTTTTCCGTTTTATCATCGATTTCTTCCGGATTCTGCAGAATTAATTTCGTGTTTTGATGCATTTTTTCTGATTTGGCTCGGAGTCTCGGATTCTTTAATCAGATTATTTTCGGATTAGTTTCATATTTTCCAGAACTAATTTCAGATTCTCGCGAATCTTTTCTAAGTTTTTCGGATTCTCACGGACCCTCACGGATCCTCTGGAATTCCCTCGGACTCTTTCGTATTATTCCGAATTTTTCTGAATTTTCTCATATTCTTTCGGATTCTCTGGGATTCTCTCGGATTCACTTTGATTCCTTTAGGATTTTTTTTTTGTATTTTCTTGTATCCTTTCGTATTCGTGAGAATATTCTTCTATTCCCCGAATTCTCTTCTCTCATATTTTTTCGATCAAGTCAAGTCAGGGCAGGTTTCGCATTCTTTCGAATTCTATTAGATTCTCCCGAATTTTTCCGTTTTCTTTTTATTTTCGCGAAATTTTTCGTATTATCTAGAATTTGTTCAAATTTTACCAGATTCTCTAGAAGTCTCTCTGGTTGTTCCAAATTTTTCCGGAAGCTCTTACATTCTCTCTAATCCTATCGAATTCTTTCGAATTCTCTCCGATTTTTTTTTGTTTTTAATTTTCTAGAATTATTTTTGGATTCTCCCGGATTCTTTCTATTCTTCTATCATTTTTTTCGGACTCTCTGCGATTTTCTCATATTCTCTGGGATTTTCTCCAAATTCTCTCATATTCTTTCAGATTCTCTACGATTCTCTAAAAATTACTTTGATCCTCTCGGAATTTTTCGGATTTTCTGAAATTGCTATAGGATTCTTTCCGAGTTGTCCAGATTCTTGCGAATCCTCACGGATTCTTTGGAGTTCCCTCGTATTCTTTGGAATCTTCTCGGATTTTTTCCGAATTCTCTCATTTCCTTTCGGATTCTTCTCTCCTATTGTTTAGAATTTCTTTCATATTCTTTTGGATTCTGTCGGATTCTCCACAATTATTATTTTTAGATTGTCTCGGATTCTTTAGGATTCTCGACGATTCTCTGAGAATATTTTGGATTCTCTAGTTTTTTTTAAAGTTCTTCAGGTTTCTGCTGAATTCTCTTGGGATCGTCACGGATTTATTCGTATTCTCTCGGATATATTTTTTCAGATTCTTTCGGATTCCCCCGAGTTTTTCCATATTATCACGGATTTCTTCCGGATTCTATCGAATTGTTTCGAATCCTCCAGATTACTTTCGTATTTTTACGTATTCGTATCCTTTCGAATTCGCTGGGAGTCTCGGATTCTTTTGGATTCTTTTTCGATTGTTTCGAATTTTCTAGAATTATTTTTGGATTCTATCGGATTCTGTCGGAGTTTTCCGGATTGTCGCGAATCCTCACAGATTCTTTGGAATTCTCATTTTCTTTCAAATTCTCTGGGATTCTTTCAAAATTACTTTGATTCTCTGGGATTTTTTCGGATTTTCTGGAATTATTTTCGGATTATGTAAAATTCATTCGAAGTATTCGGAATTCTTGTGGATCGTCACGGATTCTTTAGAATCTTCTCCGATTCTTGCCGAACTCTCGGAGTTTTTTCTCATTCCCCCATATTCTTTTGGATTCTCAAGGATTGCCTCCCAATTTAGTCGGATTCTCTCCAATTATTTAGAATTCTTTTCGTATTCTTTTAGAATCTATCGGATTCTCTAATTATCATTTTTAGATTTTCTGGAATTCCCGCAGTTTCTTTCGAATTTTTTAAGATTCTCAAGGATTCTGTGATATTTTTATAATTCTCTAGGTTTGTCTCAAATTCTCTTGGGGTCTTCTCGGATTTTTTTCGTATTCTCTGGATTCTTTTCCGATTCTTTCGGATTCTCTGGGGTTTTTCCGTATTTTTTTTTTTTTTTATTTTTTTTTTTTTTTCTTCCGAATTCTATGGAATTATTTCAAATCCTCTAGGATTAGTTTCGTATTCTCACATATTCGTGTTCTTTCGGATTCGCTTCCAGATGCTCTTAAATTCTCTCTAATCCTATAGAATTCTTTCGAATTCTCTTCGATCGTTTTCGTATTCTCACGTATTTACGTTATTCTTTCGGATTCTCTCAGAATCTTAGATTCGTTTTTATTTTTCGGATAGTTGTGAATTTTCTAAAATTATTTTTGGATTCTCCCGGATTCTTTATAATCTTTTCGTATTTTTCCGGACTTTCTCGGATTTTTTCGGATTTTCTAAAATTACCTTAGGATTCTATAGGATTTTTTCGGAATTTTCCAGATTCTTGCGGATTCTCACAGATTCTTTGGAATTTCCTCGTATTCTTTGGAATCTTCTCGAATTTTTTCTCCACTCTCTTGGTTTTTTTGGTATCTCGTGGATTTTTTCCGAATTCTCTCATATTGATTCGGATTCTCTGGATTCTGTCGGATCGTCTCCGAATTTAACCGGATTCTCTTCTATTGTTTAGGATTCTTTTCGTATTCTTTTGAATTCTGTCGGGTTCTATGGAATTTTTGGAGTCACTCGGATTTATTCGGATTCTTTCGGATTCTCTCATATTTTTTCCAGTTTTTTCTGATTCTCTCGAAATTTTTCGTATTATCTATAATTTTAAATAATTTTTTCCAAATTATTTTGATTTTCTCGAATTTTTGTATTCTCTCGTATT